AAAAATAAAAAAAAAAAAAAACATTGCAATACTAATTAAAAAATTATAAAGGTATATATAAACCTTATTGTTTCTAAAATCTGGACCTAATTTTAAAGCTATTACTGTATTAGCTTCTATTTGTTCTACATTAGCAAACAAAAGATCTTCAAATTGGGTTAAATTTCCAGGAGACCCCTAAAATATTGATAATATTCAGTATTGTGTTGGGTTAGGTTATAATTATTAAAATCAAACCTTAAATTCTATTGTCCATTTTCCTCCTTTATTGATGAATATTTCTACACGATAATGGTTTATCAATAATAATTGCTTAATATAAGCTTCAAAATTAGCTTTATTAAATATTAATGATTCCAATGTATCACCATCTAAAAATTTTTTTTTTAATAAATTTAGATACAAGTAATAATAACAGATATTAATTGGTATACCAGATCCAATAATTTTTATTAAGTGATTTGTTTTGTAAAAGTCTTTTGCAGCAAACACTGCATCTTGACCATGTACGGTGTAATAATCTTGACGGTTGAAAAAACGTACAGTTGTTAATGGTTTCTAAAACATAAATTAAATCATAACTAAAGCAAACAGAACAAAATCAAAGGGGATTTTTACAGTGTCCTTAAAAAAAAAATTTAGTAATAAAATTGTAAAGAAGCCATTTTAGGGATTACTCCCCTCCATGCCACCCACTCCAAATTAATTTCACATTTTTTACACCACATTAATTTCAAGGTAAAACATCTTTTTCATATTTAGTTTCGGCTGGCTGGTAAAAAGTAGACATAAACGTAAACAATAATTTCATTCTATATAAAAGGTATTAATATAAAAATAAAATTATGAAGATAATAAAAGAAAATAGGTCAAGACCAATACTAAACATTTTATCATTAAATATAAATTTAGTCTATAGTAATGCTAATAAATAAAAGTGTATCAATATAGTTCAATTATTTAAAAATTTGACAATGAACTTTTGCCATTTCACATCTATTTTATAATCAATTTATAAAATGTTATAACAATTAAAAGAAATAATTAAAATTCATTATTTTAAAACGAAATAGCTTTAGTTTATTTAAAAGAGCTATATAGTTAGACATTTATTTATCTTCACTCAAAATTTACTAATTTATTATAATAAAATATTTAATATTAATTATAGAATTGAAAAGTGGCGGTCAAATGATTTTGCAATGAAAGGTCATGAAAAAACTTTGTCATAAAAAATTCCGTGGACGCTGTAATCTCATATCTAAGACCTTTTTTTATTTGGATTAACTATAATAGGATATTGTTGTGGACTTATGTATTTACATAAATAGTTTTTACTAATTAAGTTTCCAAAATATAAAATATGAAAATTATATAAAATTTTCAAATAAGGTATGTCAATGGGAAGTTCTATCCTCTTAATTCCTTCTCATTTAACCACCACTGGCAGTGTAAACACTGTGTGTAAATTCCCTTTTTCTAGCGTATTTAAATTCGTATGCTGATAAAAAATAATTTTATTTAGCGATTAATACATTACTCTTTCTTACATGAGTTGTATGTTTTACAACTGTGGTTAATCTCTTAGTATTTTTTTATTGTTAGGAATGGTTTGAAAGTTTGATTAAATGATTCTATTTTTAAAATTGAAAATAGAGATTAAGTGATTAAAATTTCAAATGGAATATGTAATTAATTTACATATATTAAATTATGTATAGAAACAAATGATCTAAGAAACACAAACAGATATTAACGTCATTATATATGAATTGATATACGGAATGATTCATTTAGGACCTAAATGAATCATCCCGTATATCAATTCATCCTAAATTTTAGGATAAAAGACACTCATTTTCTCGGTAACAGTAGAACATTTTTTTTTTTTTTTTTTTTTTTTTTTTTTTTTTTTTTATACTTTTAGTGATAAAAAACCTTAACATAATTTTTTTTTTAAAGAGAACCTTTATTTTTACTTTGATAATATGATTGAAAAAAAAATTTAGAAACTATTTCGTTCATATATATTTTTTTTAATTGCTTAAGAATTTGGATTTAAAATAGAAATTTATTACCAAATTGGTTTTTTGTAATACTAGAGGCAACAATAATCTGTTTCAATGGACCATAAATTATATTTGTGGTAGTTATTAAAAACATTTTTTTACACTGATCGTTCAACAATGTATGAGTAATCTTGTATGGAATATAACAGTATGCGTCTATTAATAGTCATTAATGACTTTTGTAATTGATAACTGTAGAATAACAATAAAAATTTGATTTAAAAACACTTAACTTTGACACGTTAAAACAGACGAATGTTTGATCGGATAACGATGAATAAATTATAAATAATTCTTATATTGACTTTAGAAGAAAAAATTTGATTAAACATAAAAATACATACACTATATACTAGCTGTTAGCATTAAAAAAAAAATAGTTATTGGCTTGCTTTGATGTAATTAAATAAAAAAAATGATTTAATTATATCTTCTAATATGATATTGAATAATTTTAGTATAAATATTTAATTAATATAAAATGATATAAATTTGGGCTCCACAAAATGTTAAAAGCAATATATAATGTGTACAGAGCATGACAAAATTTTTCTACAAATTGTTGTTCAAGATTCACGAATATTGAATTATCATATTGATAACATCACAATACAAACAGGTCAAAATTTCATAATTTAGTTTAACCATTCGATACGAATCGTTCAAAATATTACAACATTGCAACATAAATTGTTTTTGTAGATTGAACTAATAACATAAAATTATTCACAGTATTATTTTTAATATTATTTTAATATAATTACACAGATAGTAGATTAGGAATAATTATAAGTACGAAATCAAATTACGACATGATTTTTGTAAAATCACTATTTTACTAAAAATGTATTGAAAAATTGAATGTGTAAGCTCAACGGATTTTTTTTTTTTGTTAACATTAATAACTGAAATAGTTCTTAGCGTGTTTAAATATATGTCTAATATTAAATTAATACATGTTTCCTAGTCGTTAATATTATGACTAGTATTCCAATACTATAAAATGTGTATACTTTTTGTTACACTTAATACATAATACGTGTGTTTTTAAAAATTGTACTATGTACTTCATGTTAAATAAATAAATTATTAATACAGAAACAATAATGTTCATCTTTAGAAACCCGAAGGCTAAACAGTCAAGGTAAATTACTTTAAAAAAGATCATTGAAAGATCATTATTAGGTAGGATATTCCCAAATAATACGCAAAGGAAGTTGTGAATCATGACAGTGGCGGACTGGGGGTCAAAATCGGCCCTCATTAGTAAATATATGTATATCATAGATAGCTGGGTGGCATAAACTTCCCTTTTTAAATTGAAATTTAGTACACCCAGTATTGAAAAAATAGTATGTATTTTTATGGAAATTAGATTAATCCTCATAAATCCGATAGGTCAGGTATAACATAACGGGATTAGGACTTATAATATGTTTTATGTTGGTCTGGGACTGAAAGGGGCCAAAAATTGTCATCTGGTCAATGGGCAGGGTGGATTAGGCTTTTTTCTGTGAATAGTTGGGGTAACTACTGAGAATTTTCTCGACTTCCTGGAAGCCCAATATTCTCTGCTAAAATTTTTAAAAGGGTACTATAGCCAAGAAAACTAATTTTTGAAAAATTATTAAATTTATCTATCATGTTATGATGGTAAATAACATTTATTATTTAAGTTTATTACAATATAGTCATTAAATAGTTTTAAAATTCAAATCTCAAGATAAGATATAACAAAAAAAACATAAAATAATAAAAAATTTTTTGTAATTTAATTTTTATCGTAAAAAACTATTGTATATTAAAAAATAATGCCTATTTGAATAATATAATACTACATAGTAGGTAATATCTATTAATATGCATAGCTCTTTCACATTAAATTTTAGGACCTAGTACTTGACCAAAGAATGGACACATATTCCGAGCTCCTATGTTAAGCTAAAAATAAAAAGCGAAAAGCGTGCTTCTCTTAGTTTATATAAATTTGAATACACCGTGTTTAAACATAATGTAAAACAATTAATGAGATTATTAAATCGATAAATATCCCACCAAGAGTAGAATTTTTGTGAACCAAAAAAATCAGCTGAAATATATCAATTGATTTATGTAATTGAAATAAACATTATTTCGCTCTTACGTGTTTCTATTTTTTAGTATTTTAAAAGATTTTTAATAGATGTTCCAGAAATAGTTTTCAAACATTTGTTAATTAGGACATGATTTCTATTAGTCTTCAAGCTTAGTTTTACATTTTTTTAAACATTGATTTTTTAGTATTTGTATGGCTTAGCACAAAATAATTTAGAGTTGTCTTTAATTAGGACCAACTCTAAAGTTTCCAAAAGTTTAAATTTTAAATTAAATACAAAAATAAAACTATAAATAATTATATAATATATGTATAGAGTGTATCACTATTTAAATTGAATTTTCAATACAATTAGTTAAACTTGAAAATTATACCTATGATCCCGACAAAAGACTGATTTTAATACTTGATTTAGTTTAATTAAAACTTTTAAACATTTGAACAAGAAAAAGTTATTTTTTTATGCGTGAAACATAAACAGGATTGAGTTTTCTTTGAACACAACACATTTAAGAACAATAACACAATAATTGTTCTATTCTTTATTTAATTTTAAAAGTTGCATAATTACTATGGAACTTTCCAAACACTATCCAATGAATTCATAAATGATGTATTTTAAATTTTTGTTGGAAAATCAGTTAAAAAGTCGAAAGCTATTTTATAATTGAAGAAATATAATTTATGTTCATATGAATACAATACCACTTAATGATATATTGAACAAAATATTAATTCGAGTGATAATTAGTAAAATTTATATCTTAATATTTGAACCTAGTTCTCAGATAAAAGATTAGACTAATAAGCATATTGAACATAAAAATAAAATATCAATATATATGAATATATGATATAATGAAATAGCCATTTCGACGATTCTTTTAAATAATTCTATTGGTAAATGACTGAGAATTAATAATTGATATGAAATTAAATTTACTTTTATCGGTATTAATAATAGTTTTAAATAGTAATAATCTTTTTATTAACTTATTTTCATTTTTAATTTATAAGTGTATATAAAAAAGTTTTTCACTTCTCTTAAAAATAAGCAATTTCTGACTTTCGACCTTCCTTAAAAATTAAAAACTGTTGTTTTTATTGAAACTTTTCCATACTAGTGTTGGGTATTATTTCGAAAATTAAAGCGTAATTTTTTAATAATTATGTAGTACACTCACTTAAATCAAATTCTTAGTATAGTATTGAGTTCTTATACATAAAATAATTAAGTTTTGTAATTTGAAACATGTGTATCAAGAAAAAGTTTATTATATACAAAATATATTTTTATACTCTGTTCATTTGTTCAACAATTTAAGTTTCATTTAAAACATATTATTATTTGAAAATCAAATATTTGAAACAAAATCTTGATATTTAATACAAAAATAAAAATCAACAGTATCTTGATGGGCGAGACAGTAAATGAAATTTGATGCAACTCGTCACTTAAACTGTTTAACTGTAGTAAAATAAATTTGTTTCAAAAGTAAACAAAAAAAAGTATTGGTAGCCGTCATATTAAAGCGAATGAATAATTTACACAATGTTCATAATTTGTATGTACAAGTAGTTATAAGAACGAGGTAAACATTTTAAGCGAATGCGTATCGGGTTAACGATCAAGTTCACAGTATAAGGTCAGGTATTAATTCATACACCCATTTCTATGAAAATGATAAATTGCAACTTACTGGGTTTTTACTAATCATATAGATGTATTGTCGTGAATAGAATCGATTAAAATTATATAAACCATTATCGAGCTCGCAAAGTGTATCATTCAGAAGTTTATCATCGCCAAATAACTTTCTTGTTAAAATACCTCGTGAGGAATATTTCTATATTAAGACAAACTGAGCAGTTTCCAATTTTACAAGAAATCAAATTAAAATGCAAATAATTAATAAGGTATTTATTTAATAAGTTCTACAAAAGATCAATCCATAGTAAACCTAATTTTTATATTTTTAGATTTGCAAGTTATACTTATTTACCTGGTTTGTGTTATCTACTAACGCGAGTCCAATATTGTCTAGTAAATTTGAACAAAATTACCAAGTGCCATCTATTTCTAGTAATGTACCTGGAGTTACAACTACATTCAGAGATCAAAATGGAAATCTTGTAACTCAAGTAAAAAAAGAATCATTTAATAATGTTAATGGCCAAAATTCGCATTTAATAGAGTTTGAAGAAAATAAACAATTACCAAATGGGTATGCAAAAAGTTTTAAAAAAGAATATTCTTCTTCTAGTGTATCTGGTTCTCAACCGGTATTTGGACAAAATCCAATTGGATTCGATAGTTCGTTAAAACTTGATAAGTTAAATTGTGGAAAATTATGTAGCGGATTTGAGCATGGACATCACGAAACACTTATTTCCGCAAATTCAGGATATACAGGAATTAATTCGAATTTAAAATCGATAATAGACCAAGGTGTGAAGAATTTACCAGGAATTATAACAACATTCAAAGATCAAAACGGAAATCTGGTCACTCAAGTAAAAAAAGAACTATTTAATAATGAAAATGGGCAGAATTCACACGTAGTAGAATTTGAAGAAAACAAACAACTTCCAAATGGTTATTCAAAGAGTTTCAAAAAAGAATATTCTTCTTCAAGTGTAATTGGGTCTCAACCTAGCATTTTAAAACCGACAATTATTGAAAATTCATCTTTAGATAAACAAATGAGTGGATACAATTCTTTTATAAATACTAAACCAATCACTTCTACAAATTTATGTGTAGATCAGCCTGTTTGTGATGAAACCGGACAAGCAATTGTAGATACAAAATATAGTGGACAAAAACAAGTCAATTTTGTTCAACAAGGAAGCAATTACCAAACACCTGTATTTGTCCCTAAACAACAAACTATTATTTCATCATCATCTAACTCTGCTTCAGGAAATAAATATGAAAAGCTTGAATCATTTAATACACATCAACATCATGGACAACAAACAGTAGATATAACACATAGCATAGAACCAACTTCATTTGGGCAACAGTCAATAAATATTGAAAATACTTTACCAAATTTTTCACTAAATCAACAAAAAGAAACATTTAACCAAGTTTATAAACCTCAATCACAATTTGGACAACAGGTAGTTGAAATAAATAAAGTTTCGAATTTCAATCAAGAAATCGGCCAACAAACAGTTCCAGTAGAAAAATTTTACAAGCCAAATATTCAAGTTGGTCAACAATCCATCGATATATCAAGTATAAGTCACAACACAGCAGGCCAACATCAAGTTGAAATTAACAAAAATTCAAATTTGAATCAAGGATATGGTCAACAGACTGTCTCTATTGATCATTTCTATCAACCACACACTCAAGTCGGTCAACAATCCATTGATATATCAAATACAAACCATCATACAGCTGGTCAGCAACAAGTTGAAATTAACAAAAATTCAAATTTGAATCAAGGATATGGTCAACAGACTGTCTCTATTGATCATTTCTATCAACCACACACTCAAGTCGGTCAACAATCCATTGATATATCAAATACAAACCATCATACAGCTGGTCAGCAACAAGTTGAAATTAACAAAAATTCAAATTATAACCAAGAATATGGCCAACAAAGTGTTTTAATTGATAATATTGCCAAACCTGTGTCTCAATTTGGCCAACAATCTATTGACATAACAAACTTAGGTCACAACACAGCTGGTCAACAAATAGTAGATATTAATCATAATTCAAACTATAATAAGCAAATTGTTGGTCAACAAGCCGAAAAAATTGAATCATTTTATTCAGAAAACCATGACTCAAGAGGTCAAAAATCAATAGACATATCAGGTTCTGATATATCAAATGCTAATTCACAATCACATTTTAATACACTAAGTAAAGGTAATCAAGAATTCAGTGGACAACAAACTCAAGATATAGGAGGAATTTTTACAACGAAAAATGGCGGAACACACATACTTGACATAGGCACATTAGATAAAAATACATACAATGGTAAATTAACATCTCCAATTAATTACAATGGTAAAGAGATGATAAAAATAGTTGAAGGTCAGCGTGTAGTTGAAAAAAATATTGATCTAAATGTACCACACTACCAGAGTAATGCTGAAGTACATAGCCATCAGTCAACTCACGGACAATCATTAGTAGAAAATCAAGCTTTGGGACAAGAAACTATTGATTTTTCATCAGTTGTTGAGAACAATCAGCCACTACAAAAATTACCTGGGCAAAATCTAGGACATCAATCTTCTAGTTATTCATCATATGCAGAAAAATCATCATCAGGAAATGATCAATCATTAAATGGTAACTATAATAAAGTGTTTGGTAGCTTAAATAAGTTAGAACAAGAAATTAATGGAGTCCATAGTTTGTCAAATTTAAAAAAAGATAATATTCAAGTAGGGTTAGCACATAGTTTAAAAAGTATGCCAATAATAAAAGAAGAAAAAGAGTCTTATTTCCAAAAAAAATTAAAAGAAAATGAACAATATTTAGAACCTCAATCAGAATATATTCCAGGAAAACATGTGCAATCTTTTGCTTCCAGTTCTTATACAAAAAGTGAAAAATCAGTAGATTGTTAGAACTTTTAAATATTCACTAATTTTAAGTTATTAGTATTAAATAATTCTAAATAATATTTTAATTATTTATTAAAGGTAATATAACATTGAAATTTAAAAAAATTATTTATTTATTTATTATTTATTTAAAAACTATTCTAAGCATAAGATAATTTAATTTTATGAATATTTGTTTAATAATTTTTTAAAGGTTTTGATAAATAATTTATAAACTATAATAATTTATGCAGACATTAAATTTGTGAATAAAAATAATTATAAGTTAATTTGTGTTATGTACATATTTTATATTCATAATTTTTCTAGTATTTTATAAAAATACTAGAAAAATACATAAAACTTTTGATTTGATAGAAATAAACATTATTATTGTACAAAAAAATACTATTTTTTTAAGTGTTACCTATGATTATCAAAATATAATTTTATAGGCTATAGCCTATATAACAATTTTTCTTTTTTTAACTGTAAAGTTTTCTTAAAAGGCTTCAATTTGATATTGTTTACCAAACTCTAATAGTACATCGGGATAATTTTTTTTTTAATTTATAGTATGTAACATAAGCTTTACGTAGTATTCCCCAAATATTTTCCAAAATTAAATTGAAGAAGTTCTACTTTTTNTTTATAGTATGTAACATAAGCTTTACGTAGTATTCCCCAAATATTTTCCAAAATTAAATTGAAGAAGTTCTACTTTTTAAACGCATGTTTCAAGGTTTGAATACCCCTGTATAACGGGAATTTGTCCGAATTAAAAAAAAAGTATATTGGATAAAAGGGGTATATATAAAATATTTAGAATCAAAAATTTGTGTTGATCTATACAATTTTTAAAAAGTTAAAACAATTTAAAGTTTAAAATATGAAATCCAAAATTTTAACACAAAAATAACATGTTTTTAACTATGGCAAACATTACACATAGATGATAAGTCATCTGGAAAATTTATAGTAAGTAACATAAGCTTTAATTTAATTTATGTTTAAAAAACGCAATACTTTCAGAAAATTTTCAAATGTTAAGTTGAAAAAATTGATTTTTGTGAAAAAGTAATTATTTTGAATCTTCTCCAGTGGGTAAGTAAAGGGTTAGCTTTTCAAAACATTTATATCAAATAAAAGGAAAATACCAAAGATTTTTAAATAAAAATAAATTATTTTGGTACGTTCATTTTTGAAAAAGTTATGGAACTTTAAAAAAAAAAAAAATTTACCAATTTTAAAAATTGTAATTTTTTTGGGATTTTTTCCATTTACAAGGAACGAGGGAAATTTTTGCAATTTTTAAGGGCAATGTTTTCAATAAGATAAGATTTGTAATTTTTAGACATATTGTTGAAAGGAATTGGCCTAGTGAGAGCTGATTAAAAGTGGCAACAGACAAAAAACACATCACAAAATTAATATGTTCTCAGCTTCACATCAAAGCTAAAAAATATTTAATGACTTATTAGGGTACAATATGAATTCTTGTATAGTTGTTAATGGTGATTTTACCAAAAAAATATAATAATTTGTATGATTTTAAAAAAAATAAATTTTTTAATAATCCTAGAAAATTACAAAAATTGAGCTAATAGTACTATTACTATTTGGTCAATATAGCTTTTATATGCCAAGCAAGTATTTAAAAAAAATTTTAAATAAATAGAAAAAATTTTGATTATGTAGGTGATCTTGTTTAAATTCTACCTGTATTTAAGTTTTAATCTGAATTAACATAAAATACAAAAGAAAGCTTTTTATATCAAGTATATTTTATTAAAATTCCATCGATTGGTGTATTTTAAAAAAGTTATAATAGTTTTAAAATAACAAAATAAGAACAAACTTCTACTTACTTCTGGTAATGATTTATAAAACAAAACAAAACTTTTTTGTTGCTCAGGATCTAAAATACAACAGAAAATAAATTACTTAAGCTACATTTAATGCAAATGTATTTAGTATTATTAGCAATTATTATAATGTTAAATAAAATTTGATAAATTATATAAAAACATATTAAAGAATAAATCTGAAATGGATATGTGTCACCATTAAATATCACTGATGAGAGCTGATGTAAAAATTTTAGAATAATTTTTTGAATATAGTAACTTTCTTAACATTGTAATATTTTATAAAATCAATAATAATCTGAGTATATTTTAACTAAATTGAAGAAGAAAATAAATTAAATTAATTTTATCATAAATTTGAACTGATTTAGCATAAATTCCAATATTATCAGTATCTGATCAATAAAATCTCAACCTTTTGGATTATTCTTATGATATTTAAGAGAAATTTACACACACGTATATATACCTAAATTTAAGTGATTAACTGGTTTAACAGCCATGCTTGAAAATTACTTAAATTTTTATATGAAAAAATAGTTCAAATTAAATAGAGGTTTCTATATATTATTCACATAACATCAACAACTAATTTTTAGTGACAATTTGATTCACAGATGAACAACTTAATTGAACCGCCAAAATCGGATATTTTATCTCATATAAATCATTCAAGGACCATGGTAGAAAAGTATTATTGTCATAGATACAACTACATTGTACTTATTAACTATTGACTATTCAGATATTAACTAATTAATATGTTTATATGTATTTAATCTATGGTTAAATACAGATTTATATACAGTAAATCTATATAATTTTGGTCACAAAAATTAGTCTGTAATTCATAAAAATAATTTTATTACCAAGGTAAACTAATATTATTGTTATTAATTTATATTGGTAGCTGAAAACAGCAATTTGTTCAAATGATAAGACAGCATCAACAATTTGTGATATCATTGTCTAACCAAAAATGTTAATGACGATTTAACTTTTGTTTTAATCAATTGGTTGGTTTTTTAGTATTATTTCGTTATTTACTACTATTTAATTATTGAAATAATTTTGAAAAATTAATCTAGGTTAGTGACAACTTTATTTATTTAAGTACCAGGTAACTATTCTGTTTTAAAAACATATATATGTATATATTTAAAGATTCTATTATTGATACTTATTAAATATAATTTTAAAATTAGGTATTGCAAATCTAAAAATAATTATAATACAATTGAAATTCTGTATTCTGGTATTACTTAATAAGAAATAGCGCCAATTTTATAATTTTATCTGGAAACAAAAATGTCTACCCAAGTGAGAATAAAACTGCGTATGGGTACAGAGACTCTTTGCAATTCACAGGTTTATATTGAATTAGAAGATCCTGTACATGTTTTGAAACAAAAAATTTCTAAATTAGATAAAGACTTGAGTATTGATAATTTTGAAGTTGTTTATTGTGGCAATGTAATGGAAGATTCTGAAACAATTGGTGGTTATGGTGTAATGAATGGTGTTACTGTGCATGTATTCAAAAAAATGAAACATGAAACGCCAATTACTCCTAAAACTCTTTCTGAAGTTGAATTATTAAAATTAGGAGTTGCCTTCCGTTCTCTTTCATTAAACTCATCATATAGAAATGCTTTATTAAAACTAAATAAACCAGAAGTAATTTCAAATATTATTATGACAACACCTGGCCTGAGTCGTGATCCAGTTGCAATTACTTTATTACAACATTCAGAGCTCTTAGTAAAGCTTGGTGATCTTGAGATTGTAAAAAAAATTGCTGAGAATCATCCAGCCTTAGCTGAAGCTGCTCAACATATTGCTGCAGCTGTGCATGAAGAAGCGTTACAGGTAAATGTTATAAAAAATGATTTTTTAAGAATATTAATTCAGATGATTTTCTTTTAATAGAACAATCATACACCAGCATCATTAATAGGAAACTCATCTTCTCTATTAAACAATATAAGTGATGACGATATGGATGATTTGAATGACTCATCACCTGAGTCAAGAAGTCATCCAATATCCCGAAATTCATCTTTTGGTACAATAACAGCTGCTCAATTAGCATCTGCTATAGCAAATGCTACATCTCAACAGCAGAATCAACCTCAATCTAGTAGTAATATAGCTAGTACCTCAACAGGAATAACAAGAGATATGTTGCAATCAGCTATTGGCGATTTACAAAATCAACCAGTTGTTGGTAATACGCAAAATGTCCTAGCTGAAAATGCCAGCTTACAGTCTCAACTTCAAAAAATGAGGGATATGGGTCTAACTAATGATGCCATTAATATTGAAGCATTACGTGTTAGTAATGGATCCTTAGGTGCTGCAATAGAACTAGTATTAAGTGGTTTTATGAGTGATGATTAATAAATTGTATAGAAATTATTGAATCTTTACTACTAGCTCACTTTTAATGTATATTAAGACATTAAGCTTTTTGTATTTGTTTTAATTAGTAGTATTTACTTTTAAATCTACAAATTTATGCAAAATAACTAAATAATAAGTTTGCATTAATATTAATGAAATACTTTTAAAAGATGTCTAACATAATTTTTGTTAAAATGTATATTTAACAAATTATTTTACCTGTAAAAACTTTTATGTTAGCAACATAAGACAAAAACATTTCTTTTTATTGTGTATGAAATAATATTTTAAATATAATTTACAATTACAACAAATTTCTATTATACCAAAGATTATAATATAAAAATAGATATCAATTGTTTCCAGAAGAAGATTGCACTATTATTGGCGCTGTTTCATAAAAATACTATTTTTAATATTTTTAACTTTGTTTAAAATCTTTCAAAAATTTCCATTTTTTAGATATTATATTTCAGTGAATAATTAGTCCAATTTATTGAACTACATTCACATAATTAAATTGTGAGTAATTATTGATGTTTAAAAAAAAATTAATATAACTTGGAGTAAAAACTAAGTTCTATTAACAACTTAATTGAATAACTTAAATATTTTGTAATATAATTCCTTTATGAGAATTCAAATATACAAAGACGTTATTAGTTACTGATCAGATTATGTACTTAATATATATGAAATATATTAGTCTATCTCTTAAACATATTAGGCTCATGATTTTACTATAACAAATAATTATTACCGATAGTACAGTTTGCATAGTGGCTATTAAGTTTTCAGACTCCATAGAAACATTAGTAGTTCTTATAAATTAATTAAATTTTTTGTAGGTAAACAGGAGAATTAGAGCAATTTGTAAAAGAAGCTTTCTATTAGATATTTTATCCATATTTATGAAATCGAATTTAGGATTAACCCTCAACAACTTTCACGCTATGTTCATGTTATATTTGTTATATATTCTTTGCAAAACATCATTTTTTTAACTTAACTATACAATTAATTATTATAAGTTATTATATTTTAATAATTATTGTATCGAATGTAATTTTATGACTAAGATATTTACTGATTTAATTTTCTACATTACTGATTAAAGTTAGTAAAGCTAACATTTCCTGGTTATTTACATATTTTTTTAAATATTTAAGTAACTAAATGTCGAAATTAGTTAATTATTAAGAAAGTGGCGATCTAGGATGATATATTCCTTTAATACAAAACAATTATATCTTGTATTTCTAATTTTGTTAAACATTCATTGATCGTGGCCTAGATTAGGGTGCTTAGCACTTAATATTTTTATGTCATAATGCTTATACATTATCTTCTTATTAAAATTAGCTATGTTACGTTTTAAATTTTAAAAGTGTAAAAAGTTGTTCTTATTTCATTTTCAACCAACTCTTTACATGTCTTCAAGTTAATAGAATTAAAGTTTATGTTATTGAAAATGTTTATAAAATTAATTATTTTCAATCAATTATTTCCGAAAGTAAAGTCAGTATCAGGTAGTAAAATTTGACATACGGTTCGGGTAACAAACATGGATCAATTTTTTTAAGAGCTTAGACAAAAAAATTATTTTTTCAAAATTATTATTTTTATTAATATTCTAGTAATTCTATTTGGGAAGCTAAAGTCTTCCTTCTGGATTAATGCCTCTAGTTACACTATTGTAACTTTAATTCTGTGTTTAAGTGTATGCTGAAAATACGTATTTGAGAACAAAAGTAAAAATTAAACAAATTCCTTCCCCTTCATACTTAGTAGAGTAAGCCACTTTCTTAAATGACAATTTTAAGCAATTTTATTCGTTATTTATCCAATTTTTTAAGTAAAATCAAATTTAACAACGTATCAAAAAAATTAAATTGGCGCAGTCCATCCATTAGTCATACTAAAACTACATTTTAAGTAAAAATGAGATAAGTTGAAAATATTTTTACAATTTTTTTTTTTCTAATGTATTTATTTGAAGACTTAAGTTATGGAACATTGTCATAAGTAAAACATTAGTTTAACTTTCTTTATGCCTTAATAACAAAATCATAATGTTAAAAGACTATTATTTTATTAATTACATTTTATAATTGATTCTTTATATTTTTACAAATTTATTTCTGTAAATTTTGTTTGCTATCTATAGGTGTTGCGTAGTACAAATTACCATCCGAGTCCATAATGCCTATTTTAAATAAAAAGAAACCGTGAGTTTGTATCTAGGATAATGCAAATTATTTAATTTAAGCATATTAATTACCCTCAGAAAAACTTTATTATAGGACCTATGTGCCACCACAAGGTGTACGCTGTCAAAAATGTCTTGAATTAGGCCACTGGACTTATGAATGTAAAGGGAAAAGAAAACTTGTTGATCGCCCAACTCGTACGACTTTATTGAAAAGAAATTTAAACAAGGACAGACCAGCAGATAAAATCTTATCTAAGTGAGTTTCAAGTATTTTATAGTATATATGTATATATTTTGTACTAGATCGATAGTACAAACGATTATTTGTAAATTTATTTTAAACCTATCATGATATTTGTAATCAATAAATTTTTTTTTAATTATTATTATATTAAATTTTATTTGTATAGTGTTGATTTTTTACTACATTTTGTTTAGAGTTACTAAAGACAAATCTAAAAACCCCAAACGAAAGAAGAAAACAGATGATAGCAGTTCATCTTCTTCGTCAGATTCTGACAGCAGTGATAGCAGTGGTAGCTCTAGTACTAGCAGTAATAGTAGCAGTAGCAGTGGCAGTAGTTCGAGTAGCAGTTCCGACAGTAGTAGTAGCAGCAGCAGCAGCAGCAGCAGTAGTTCTAAATCTTCTATAAACGAAAATTCCAGTTAACAACAATGTACAACTTAAATGTATTATATGTTATTTATAAGTCATAAAAAAATGTATTCCTAAATTAATTGTATTTACCAGTAATTTACTATGAAGATTCTAACGAGCTACTTGATGTACTGCTTGAAGAACTAGAAATATCATCACTAGACTCGTCATCAGATTCAATATTCCTTTTTGTGTAAACTTGATCATCAATAATTGTCGTACCTATTCTAACCATATAATATTGTAAACAACTTAATGTTTATGATAAATAAAGTTTTTTTTGTAAAATTTGAACTGTTTTTATTACATAGAATATGACTGATGTAATACACAATTTATACGTGTACTAACTTTTTTTTTAGTTTCTTTTTGTTATGTGGACAATCCTTCTCATTAAGACATGTGCAAGCGTTGGCATTAGTAACAATATGACAACATGACTTGCAACGGATGCATAACTGAGGCGCCAAGCACTGCAGCTCGTCCATGACACTACACACATAAGTAGTTGAAAATACTTAGTATTCTACTTGTTAGTTTAAGCATTTGCCACAATATTAAATCTAGACTCTCGACAAAATTAAACCTAACTAGATTACCCCACTTCATTGATTTCTTTTGGCTCGAGCTCAAGTAAATTATTTAAAAATATTAAGAACATTAAGTATTTTGAAGTTGTCTATTGTTATTACATGAGAATTCTTAATGATCATCTCTTATTGGAAAAAAAATATTCAAGTGTTACTTTTTAATCGACATACGTCATAAATATATTTTATTTCTTTAACGCGCGCTTAAAAACATTTTTCAATGATTTACAATGAGTGGAAAACGCTTCTTTTAAAGTATTTGGCTACAGCTACCGCTAAATATATAAAAAGAAGTTCACTACATCAATCACAATTTATTTAAATATGTATAGAAGTTATTTTCTTTGGATTTTACTTAACATTTATCAAAAGACAACAAATCATAACTAGTTAAAGACATAACCCTCTAAAATTTCCTTAGTTCCTATTAATGGGGAAAATTCCCCAAAAACATTTTTTTTTTTAAATTGGTAAATTTCATCATTTTTTTATCCTTTCTTACTTAAGACTATCATAACTTTTTGAAAAACTAATAAATCAAAACAAAGTTATGATTATAACAAAGTTAAGTTATTAATAATACCTTGGTATTTATTTATTATTTTTTTTTTTTTTGAAAATCTCATAGGGGTGGTTTAAAATAACGATTTCATAACGTTCTATATGCAAATGTTTGCTGTAGTTAAAAAACATGTTAAAATGTTCGAATTTATATATTCAACTTTGAATTACTATAAATTTTTGAAAAATATATGAATGAATACAATTCTTTTCATTCGAAATATTTTTTTTTAAATCGAATACTTTCGTCTTATACGAGGATTCAAATCTTGATACATACGTATAAAGTGTAGAATATATTCAACTTCACTTTTGATTATGATCCGGGAATATTTCGTGTTTTAAAACGTGTTTTATGAAAGCTTAGGTTACATACTACAAGTTAAAAAAAAATACCCAAACACATTAATTTTTATGTGCAAATGGGCGCCGAAGTTAAAAAACATTATTTTATGCTACAATTTTCTATTTCAATTTTTTTTCTTCAAATATTTATGTCTACGTTATTGGTCAAATGGTCAAGTCATATAGTTAGAATATATGTAATTACACTCTTTTTGCAAAAATAATTTTATAAATAATAATAAAAAAATTTAAGAGTTAGTCATAAATCATTTCAGCGAGAATTATTGCTGTTTTTAATGTCAATCCAATAAGTATATTTAAAGGGAGTTGTATGCCTTTACAAAAAAATGTTATAACTATCAATGGTTTTTAAAAAATTACAATTTCAATTTCATGACTGAAATAATAAACTAACTTAATAATCGAATTAAGAACGTTAACTGACTTTTATTTTCTTTTAATTAATTCATATTTATATTTTAGATATACGATTACTATAAAGATAACAAAATATAAAACTACTTAATAACTTTTTATAATTTCGCTGTAAAAATTACAATATTAAATTATTAACTATCAATTTCATACTAAATTGAACTACCATAAAAAGTATTTATTCATGTACTATACTTATAAATCATGAAACTTGAAATCAGAAAATGACAAATAGTAAAGTAATTAGGAGTTGGTGTTGCTTTTTAAATAATCCAACAGTTTATTCTAAAAATTAAACACTATTTATAGATTTACATTGAATAATTTTTTATAATAGTAATATTAATCAATGTATGACATCTATACTTTTCCCAACTATACTGTGACCCCACTGTACCAAGTTCTTATTTTTTTATTATGCAAAATAAATTAGATGCATGATATCGCACCCCTAGATCTAAACTGTTGTAACTCAAAAATGCGATTTTTGAGATAATGTTCATTTTAGGATTTCTGATTCTATTACCTACATGAGAATAAAACCGTAGTAACTATATCTTGTTTGGTTTCTAATAAAAAGCGCTAGAAGACAGTTTACTTGAATGACAGCATGCAAGTTTCATATCAGTTTTTCTTGAATTGTGAAAAAAGAGGTTTTTTGAGTTACAACAGTTTAGATCTAGGGGTGTGATATGTATATTGTAATAAATTTTAATTAACTAAATAATACTAAGCACAAAATTTAAAAAAAAACTCAAAAAAATGTAATTCAAAATATTATTGATTTAATAAAAAAATCACACATATTTACATGACAGAACTATTATAATAAATAATATAACAGGATAACATTTTCTAAAAATTGCATTATAGTAAATTAATTAACAAAACAATTCTTTTTTTTTTAATGTAAAATAATTTTATTTTCAGTAGAAAAAAATACTTTGATTTTATAGTTCAACATTTGGCATATTATTCAGAATATGAATGCATAAATAAATTTTAACATATTTAATAAGGTAATTGGCATTTAATATAAAGATTTACGTTCACTGTTTATTAATATCAATACTCTTGATTTGATAATTGTTCGTACGTCATCTTTAAATACAATTACTGATACAATGAGTCAGTGGATAACCAGCAATTCATTAACCGGTAATGCCATTTCCAATTTTAAATAATTTAAAATATTAAATATTTAATAGATTTTTAATAACACAATTGTATGCATTTTAATTGTTTCATCCAATATGCTTTATTAAATATTTATTTATATTTATATTGTTGACCAATTCTCAAAAGTATTAGATAAAATATTTTGTTTGAAAAACTTTAATATCAATATTTTTATGCTCAATAATTTTACCATGTCACTGGTAATATTATATTTATACACAATTTCATTTTGTGATTTTAGCAGCATTAACGTGGAGTTTCTAAATTAATCGGCTATAAGTCTGTTTAGAATAATGTTATTATACATATAATTATGATATTGTAATTCAGGAATCAAGGTCATTAATCAAAACTAATCAGTAGCGTGTCCAGAAAAATTTAGGGAGGGGGTTAGGGTTAGTATTAAAATATGTTACTCTTATGACCTTTTAAGTCATCAGATTTTTTCGAGTGTGTTTATTATTTAAGAAATTGGGTTAGTAAATACTACCCTGAATATCATGTTTAAAAGACTAAAATATAAAATAAGTCTTTTTATATTTTTGTATGTAAAATAAATAACAAACAGCATTATATAATTCATTATTTGTCTTCAATGGATAATATGAATATGGTCATAGATATAGTAACTGTTATATATTACGTCTATGAATATGGCAATATGGTTTCATGGTTTAAGATACTCGATTTTTATATAGGTTGTGATAATTATTTATCTATTTTATGTTGATAAAATAGATAAATAATATCTATTATATATAATAACAATATCTATAATATGTGTGTATAATATACAGTTTTATTTATACATATTATTGTCTATTAATTATAAGTACAATCATACAATAACGTAGAGAGATCAATGAAAAAAACAAACTGGTTTAGATAATAAAATTATACTGATAAAAATTTAACTGAAATCTACTAAATTTAGCTTCCATATTATTTTGAGTGGTGGCTAATTAATGGGAGGGGAATAACCCTCATCCTACTCCCTTCGTTACGCACCTGGTTGTAATAAATAAAAGCTCAGATCAATTTTACATATTTGAACTAAAATATGTATAAATAATTTACCGTTTTGAATAAAACGTGGTGTGAACAACATTGATTATGTTGTTCCTATACGCCGCTATTTATTAACAATATTTTTGATACATGCATGTAGTTTATGTATATATTAATGTAATTGTGACATGGTTATCATTACACGAGTATATTTTATAACTATACCATAAGTGTATATTGACTAAGTAAAATTGCTTACATTAATCTTAGCGTACCCGTATCGCATTATATTTATTTTTAAGTATATGTAGTTCAATGATTAAAACAATGATTAATTAAGAGTCAAATATCTAAAGATGTCATTGAAACAGTCGACTAAGCTGATGATCGCAGAAGAAAAACAATGTTTGAAAAGGTTAAAAATTAAGCATTTTGTCAGTTTGTTTACAACAATCGATGTCGATTAAATGGGAGAGATTAGGCAGATAGTTTTCCTATTGATACACGCTTTTATTGATATTTTTGTACAATTTCCATTATAAATATTTTATATTTTGGTAACTTTATATATTAAAATTAAATTTTAAAGTTAATGTGAGATTAATATGAAATAAATATGTTAAAATTCTACAAACGATCAAAAACGTCAAAAATACATTTTATATATGTTTAAATTGTAAAATAAAATTTAAAAGCCATTCATTGAAAATGTTTTTGGTTTTTTTTTAAATTAGCCAAGTAGTTTTATTATGGGTGATAAATTACAAATGAAGCAAACAGTTTTGAAAAATGTTTAAAAGTTTGCCCTAGTCTAACATAATCTAATATGATGACCCTATGTAATTCGTTTACTCGATGGCTATCAAAGATATAAAAAATTAATAATATTTATTGATAACAATTCAATAACAATTAAGAATTCTACTGTTGATTAATATACTTTTTGCGTGTATTTATTTTTTTCTTCTTCAATTATGCACTTTCACAATTTTACCAATGCGGTTTATTATTTTTATTTTTTATTTGTTTAGTAAGTAATAATCTACCAATATGTAATGTTACTATAATAAACGAAAAAATATTGAAATGTAAGCTACTAGTGTTTTTATTATATTAATTGCATGCATTTGTTTTTATTTTATTTATTTTGCATTATAAGATACAGTGGCAATTCTATGGTTGACACTAAGTGGATCGTCCTTCCTTTTGGTAAGTGCTTTATAAAAAGCGTTGACTTTCGTTAATTGTGATACAAGCAAAATATGTAAAAAAAAATTAGGTTTACATCGTCGCCTTATTCAATATATCTATGGACTAGAATATATAAGACTATACTACTGTAGTCTTAGATAAACTTATTACTTACTAAAATTTTTTTTGCTCATTTTGGCTCCTCTCAAAGAAGTCAGTTATAACTGCTACTAATCAGGTTGAATAAACGAAATCTATATTTTCATTACTTTTGTTAATAACATATTATTTAACAATATAAGAAGTGCTCATTTATAATTTATTGAAAATCTCGATACGTTGAAAGAATAAATTGTAGTTCTAAGTCAGGCATGATTGAGCTTCAAAGGGTTAAAAGGAAAAAATGTGTTCAAATTTAACGGGTTAAAATTTTTTGCCATATTACATATTATCCGTAAAAAAAATCAGCATAGTAGGGATGCGGCACAATTAGGACAATTATAGTTGATAGCTAATAAATGTTACTATTATAAAAATCAAGGTGAAGATAATAATAGAGTCAGATTACCAAAAAAAGCATATAAAATAGAAGTGAAATACCTAAGGTATTTATATAAAAACTTTATTTTGATTCATTAATTTTTCAAAAACTTATGGAAGTTTTAAGTTAAATAAACGGTAGCACAGTGGAGTAGCGGCACAGTGTGTACGTGGCATAGTTGGGACTAATATAAATGATATTTAACAGTGTTTAAAATCACTACCATTAATAATGTTTCGATTTAAATTTATTGATAGTGTTTAATTTTATGAAATTAGTGGATTATTTCAAAAGTAACATCAACTACTATTTTGTTATTTAAATACTGATTAGTAGTCTTTTGATTTATAAGTATAATACATGGATAAATACTTATTATAGTAATTAAACTTAGTATGAAGTTGATATTCATTAAATAACTAAATATTATTTTTGAACGAAATTTCAATTTTTTGAATAATTTATGGTTGTTTCATATAGTATTATTGGGATATTTAGGATACAAGTGCTATGCTTAAGTTTTGTCTTTTGACAAAGTTAACACAAAATTTGAGTCGTTCATTAGTTTTAGCTTCGATGCGAAGCTACCTTCTCACCGAACGGATTTCTTTCAACGATACGTCAAAAGATCACAAATCGTATCTAGTCGAAGACATTACCCTTCAAAATTGAAAAAAAGTCCCTCNCAAAAAAATTACAAATTTAAAAATCGCTAATTTTCGAAATTTTTTCAATTTTTTTTACTAAAAACTGCCGTAACTTTTTCAAAAATGAACATATGAATATAATTTTTTTTTTTATAGATGCTTGATGTCTTTAACTATCATTTGGTATATTTTTTTTGTAAATTTGACCTTTTTATTGCCCACAGGGGGGGGTTTAAAATGACAACTTTTTCAACTTAACTTTTGAAAATGTTCCGGAAGGTCTGACACTTTTATATATATCTTAAATTAAAGCTAATGTAATATACTTTAATTTGAAAAAAAAAAATTTGACCTCTGGACTTGTCTTCGTGGTGAAAGTTGACATCAAAGTTAATAAAAAATTACGATTTTTGTAAAATAATTTTTTTTTATATTTTTAACTTAATAATGCTCTAACTTTTTCAAAAATGAACATATCAGTATAATTCTTTTTTA